GAGAAGCATCGGAGCTCTAGCTTCGTTCGTCTTCTCTAGTGGCTCTTTTTCCCATTCCTGCAAAATAAACATTGTTAGAGATCCAAGGGGACCCTACCCCCCTAAATCAAGGCATGCAAATTCAATGAGACCATTATCTTAGGCTAAAATGCACTGGTTTAGGAGATACGAAGAAAATAACTCAGATCGATATGATTATGGCAAGCTTTAATTTAGCCATTATGGGGATCGTGCTTTGGGTTATTCCTGCATTTGTATACCTCATGAACATGTTAGAAAAGTCAGTATGCATAAAAACATAATGAAAGAAAAGATATGAAAATCATGCAATGATGGAGATTGATGATGCATATACGAGCGTTTCATGCTCTTGGGATCTTCAAAGATGCTCCATTCTTACCCTACAACGTTGCTTGAAGTGACTTGGATGGTTGGTTCGCGTGGAAAGAAGCTACAATTAGGGTTTACAAGTTGCCCTAGTTTTTGATATTTTTTGAGTTTTGGAAGAGGTTTCTTTTGTGCAAGAGTTCGTGCCTACCTTTGTCTTAATGAGGAAGATATATAATGCTTGCAATTAGGTCAAACCCTTTGGGCTTGGACCTTGTAAGAAAAGTCCTTGTTTTATTTTTTTTTTAATTTTTAACTTTAAATTAATAAAAAAAATATAATAAAAAGCCAAGGGGTGTATGACTAAGATCTTAGGTTCATTATAAGTTGCACAATACGCATGGATTTTGAATCACAAGCCCAATAGCCCAAAATCCCAAGTTTGATCACTTTTGGTTTCATGCATTTGCTCAAAATTTCTCAACTTGTACCAATCATAACTCTCTCAATTTTTATCATTTGAAGGTGATCTGTGACTTTTTAGAAAGCTCAAGATGTCCTCTACAATCTATATTTAATCATTTTTGTATTTGAAGACTCTATATTGATGTAAATTGCCTTGACAAAAAGTGTCTTTTTGTTGACTTTTGAAATGACCTATAATGTATTGGTCCATATCTCTCAAATGAAACATTTTTTGGTCTTGAGCTTTGAGAGACAAAGTTGTATAGAATTGAATTTCCTTAAAAATAAGCTTTGGTTAAGGAAAATCTGATGAAGCATGTGAAAGTTGTGCCTGGTCAAAGTTCAGTTGATTTCTCCTTAAGAAAACCCTAATTTGATAACTTTTGACTTTTGATGATTTGAGAGTTTTCTTGATGAATCATGATCAACCCTTAATCAAATGATGAATATGACTTAAAAATGTTGATGTTGACCAAAAATCTTGAAGTTTAATTGTATGTTAACCATAATTGACTTTTTGTCCAATACAATTGACTTTTAGTCATCTGAGCCATTGACTAAGCAAACTTGTGATGCAATGCTTGAAACTTGGTATGATCATTCTTGGAGACATATAAGAAACCATGAAATCCACTTGAGGCATTAGAAACCCAATCTTCCTTGTGAAAAGTGAAACCCTAGTTGTGGATCCATTGCTTAGGAGGGGAATTTGTCTGATCAGTTCTTGAGGAACTTTGAGCAAATGAAAACCCTAGGAGAATGTATGGAAGAAAATGGGAGGGAAAATTTTGGGATATAACAACATTTCTATGAGTTATAGATCCAAACACCTTCATATGACTTAAGCTAGGCTTGACACCAGACCAACATTTTTCTGGTGTGATTCCTTTTAGCTTCTTGGCTGGGAATTTGTTCAAGATGTATGTTGCAGTCGACACAACTTCATCCAATAAATAATTTGGTAGATTCTTGCACTTTAACATACTTTTTACCATATTCATGATGGTTTTATTCTTCCTTTCAGTAATACCATTTTGTTGAGGTGTGTATGGAGGAACCACCTCATACACAATCCATTCGTTTTCACATAGTGCATCAAAATATCTTGCAACATGTTCTCCACCACCATCAGTCCTCAAGGTCTTGATCTTGTGGCCACCTTGCCTTTCCAGTATAGCTTTTAACTTGGTGAATACTTTAATCACATCAGTTTTCTTCTTGATCAGGAAAGTCCATAATTTTTCTCTATAGTGATCTCTGAATGTAAAAAAGTACTTGTTATCTCCAATTGGATCTACCTGAAGAGGACCACACACATCTGGGTATATGATCTCAATGGTGGCTTTAGAATTACTTCTTGCATCTTTCCTGAAGTTGTTCTTGTGTTGATTTTTCTGAACACATTCTTCACACACTTGATTTGGAATTTGGATTTCTGGAAGACCTGAAACCATGTTTCTTCTCTTCAGGTTATTGATGTCTTTGAAGTTGAGATGTCTAAGCCTGTAGTGCCATAGCCATTTATCCTTTCTAATGCAGTTGCTATACACTTGTGTTCCATCACATCAAGTATAATCTTGAAGGTTCTGTTTTGAGACATATGTACCTTCAAGATTAACTTGTCACTTGAATCGAGTACTCTCATCATATTATCTTATTACAACATTTTATAATTCTTCTCAATCAGTTGCCCTATGATGAGCAAGTTTCTTTTCGTGTCTGGTATGTAGAATACGTTGGAAATCATTGATATTTTGCCATCTTTCCTCATGATTAGAACATCCCATTACCTTCAACAACTAGGGTATTGTCATTTGCAAATTCCACCTTGTTCTTCATAGAGAGACTGATGTTGACAAACCAATCTCACTTTCCAGTCATGTGTGATGAGAAACCCGAGTCTAAGTACCATTGATCCTTGAATCTTTGTTCTTATTTTGTTGTGACCATTAACAACACTTATTCTTCTTCCTATTTTGCAAGTATTACATCATTTTCTTGATTATTTCTTTTGTTTTCAAGACAATCACTAATATAATGATCATGCTTCTGACAATTGTAACACTTAATATGACTCTTATCAGGTTTCCATACACCATCTCTTTATATACCTACAATACCACCTTTGTGATTGCTTTAGTTTGTGGATTGTCTCAGATTCAACAAATTTCCTTTTTGTTGGTGACTTCTCCTATTTGATTTGTTTTAATCTCCTTTACCTTAGTTGGCGTTCCATATTCCTTTGACTTTCTTTTCTTTTGTTGATTGTGCCTGTAAAGCTACATCACCTTTCGTCTTGCTTGCAGATCTTTCAACCATTCTTTGTTCATGAGATTCAAGTCTATTGAAGCTCTTCTTTTGTCATGCTTGACAGGTCTTTCGATTCTTCTATGGCTACAACCACATGATTGAATTTTGGAAGCAATGACCTCAAGATCTTTGTAACTATCTATCTTGACGTCAACACTTCTCCACACATCTTGATCTGATTCACCAGTATTGTTACCCCAGTGAAGAAATTAACCACACTCTCACTTTCTTCTATCTGAAGCAACTCATATGTTCTTTTGTGAATTTGTAACCTTACTTCTTTCACCTTCTCAACACCTCCAAAAGAATTTTCCAAGATGTCCTAGGCTTCATTTGATGAGTCTACATCACAAACTTTCTCAAAGTTATCTGGATTAACACATTGATGGATTATAAAGAGGGCTTATAATCTTTATTCATTAAATCTTTATGTGCAACTTTTTGTTCATCTGTGGCATTGTTGCTAATTGTTCTCACTCCATTCTTCACAAGATCTCAAACATCTTGATAGTAGAAGACAACCTTTATCTGTTTACACCAATTATCATAATTCCGACCTTTCAAGATGTGAAAATTTGCTAGAAAAATACCCGTTTGGGTGAGAAGTCATTGCTCTACGCTTCCCAAGAACCGCAGTCAGTGCTCTAGATATCAGATGTTGGAATCAATCTTGATAGAATAAAACTCAATCACTTTCTTTATTAATTCAAGATCCTTGTTCTTCACTCTTTACACGAGTGATTCAACCACATAATTGGTTGTAAGATAATTCTTTCGCAAAATGATTTGAAAAAGAAAGAATAAATTTTAAAGTAATAATAGAGAAGATAGAATTGAAAAGAAGAATGTATTGATCTTCTCTCGATCTCACTGGTCTTTTTTTATTTTACCCTTTCTTTACAAATACAAAATGTTTTCCTATTTATAATGAGACTACTTGCACATCAAGTAATCTCAAACTAACTAACTTTGACAAGTTGTATTTGACTCTCTGTCAAATACACGCAAATTCAAATTCCACTAAACTATATTCGATTTTATTGAATACATACGACTTCGACTATGTGAAATCCTCCATTTACAAACATGTTTAAAATATATATATATATATATATATATATATATATATATATATATATATATATATATATATATATATATATATATATATATATATATGGAGAAAATATCTACACTAATCATCATAATCAAAAACTAAACATCTTCGGTTCATTAGTGTACTAGTACAAGTCATGTCATGTCTAACCCTTTAGAAAACAACAAAATAAGCCACTTATGTCACATAACAAATATGTGTTACATTTTAAAGTCACACAAGTGTACACGGATTCAAAACCATTCATCACAAAAAACAAAACTCTCTAACCAAAAGCACACACACCATAATCGACACAATTTTATGTGTTAGTGATAATATGATGATTGATTGAAGCATTTACGTTTAAGACATTACGCGTCGCTAACCGAACCAAAAATCTAGAAACCTCTCAGGTTCAATAGTTGTAGGGCTAGGATGATGCCATCAGTAACAACCTCTGTGGCCACCGCGTACACGTGGCTTTCTCAAACATGCTATTTTTGTTTTTTGTTTTATCACTTCAGTGTTGCACTTAAAAAACCCTACACGTGTCGCCACGTGTATATGTGAGCATGGTTTGTGTTTTTGTAGTCATAGATTTGTGACCATATATATAGATAAAACTATATAATAATATTATTTATGATATGTCCAAATGAGTTTCATGTTTTTTTGCTACAATAATTGTTGCTGATGTTATATATATTTGGTTTTTGCGTTTTTTCTTTATATTTAATTGCTTCTCCTTCTCCTTCTCAGCTCAATTTACAAGCAAAGCCAGTTAACTGAGAATTATATTATGGGACTTTCAAACTTTCCCTATGCAGCAGAAGGTGTTATGCCTGTGATTTTGATGAACACAGTTTTATCTGTGGTTTTATTGAAGAACATGTTTAGATCCATTCTCCAAATAGTTGGTTGCACATCAAGTACTAATACTAATTCATCATCAAATATTGAAGAAGAAGAAGAAGAAGAAGAAGTGTACTATCAAGAGAGGAGGGTGTCAATAACACAGTACAAGTCATTGTGTAACAACAGGTCCAACATAGGTAGAAGTCCTATGGTAGAGTGTTGTGTGTGTTTGTCTGGTTTTGAAGAAAATCAGGAGGTGAGTGAGTTGCCTTGCAAGCATTTCTTTCATAGAGGTTGTTTAGAGAAATGGTTTGATAATAAACATAGTTCGTGTCCTTTATGTCGTTCTATGGAATAGTTAGTTTGTTTGTTTGAGGTTAATTAGTGTTAATTATTACTATTAATTTGTTGTAGTGTTAAAAGAACAAGTTAATGCATGGTTTTGTTTACTTGTTTTGTGAATCATGTTTAATCACCTCTCTAGTTCTCTATGATTACTCTAACAGCTCATTCAATTTTTTTAGTTTCAACTAAGGAACAAAATTATAGTGAAATAACGTTGCCTTTTGCTTGATTTGTATGTTCCATCGTGAAAACAGTCGGTTAATTGAAAAGTCACAGCTCACATTCCATCAAATGAAGAGTAGTAATTAGGCACATAGTCTCTAAGTACAGTTCAGAAGGCAGCTCAATTCAGACAACAGGTTCGAATGCTTAATCTTCCACAGAAGTGTGACATAATTGCCACAACTATTTGATAAATACATAAATAAGAGCTATCAAATTAGGCTTGACCCAATTGGTTCTTTTTCATCATTTTCATCATGAGTCTGAGACTCTTTGGCTTCGAGATGCATCTCAGAGCAAAAATATTAGATTTTTCTCATTTTTTGGGTTAGAAGTGTTACGCCATTTGCAAGGCACATAGAGAAAGGTGTGTTGTGTTAACTAATTAACCGGTTAATAAGGGAAACTACAAGAAAATGCTTACCCAGTCACGTGAAGTTGTCACGTGATTTTCATGTGGCTAAATAAAACCAGTTGCGACGTGAAAATCACGTGACAACGTATTTTAATAATATAATACAGAAGCATTAAGTGTGTCAGTTATTTTTTTGTGTAAAAAAAAGTTGCGACGTGGGATTCACGTCGCTAATTAAAATGTAACAAAAATTAATTAAATCACAACTTCCAACACTGGCGTGTTCAGGTTTTGAAGGAAGAGAAAGTTTGTTGCGACGTGAAAATCACGCGGCAACGTTGCCACGTGATTTTCACTTCGTTACGTGGTTCATGTAAATTATCAAAACGTTTCTGTTTCTCATTTCTTCTTCTTCAACCTTCCCTACTCCTCTCCATATCCATTTTATTCACCAAAAAATTTTCTTCTCCACACTTAAATTCCTACCATCTTCATACATTTTGTAAGGTAATTTCAATTTCATGTTTTATATATTTTGTTAATAGCTTTTGATGTGTTATTTGAGTATAATTTTTTTTCAATTTTTCTTTGAATAGAGAAGGAGAACATAGAAGTATAGATTGCAAAAAGGGACAAGAAGATTGAAGGAGTTACAAGATAAAAGGTATGTCTTGAATTTTTTTTTTTGAAATTAGTATATTTTCTGAATTTGATTAATTTGCATTGGGTTAAAATTGTTGAATTTGGGTTATATATATATTTTCTGTATTTGAGTTAAATGTTAGGTTTAATTATTTAGTTTATAATAATTATTAATTATTAATTTGTGATGAATGAGTTTAATTATTTTAGGAGTTTAAGTTTTTTTATTTTTAGGAGTTTATAAATTTTTAGTGTTTAAATTAAATTTTTAGGAGTTTAAAGTTTTTAAATTTTTAGGAGTATATAAAATTTAGGTGTTTAAATTAAATTTTAAGTGTTTAAAAATAAATAAATATTTTTAGGAATTTATAAATTTTAAGTGTTTAAATTAAATTTTTAGGAGTTTAATAAGTTTTTAAATTTTTAAGAGTTTATAAAATTTAGGTGTTTAAATTAAATTTTAAGTGTTTAAAAATATTTTTAGGAGTTTATAAATATTGTTGAAAGCATATATTTATCTTTAATTGTATATGTTTAGGATTATTATTAAGTTGATTAATTAATATTTCTAATTAAATAGGTTTTGATTATATAAATTTGCAGTAAATGAAATATTATATGTATTATCGCAGTTGGATGTACGATAGACTATATCCAGGAAGACGCGCACTTAAACCCAATTTTATAGACGGAGTTAATGGTTTTATCGCGTGGACGTTTGCCCAGGAACGTTGTCAAAGTGAAGGAGGAGTTAGGTGTCCTTGTCTTAAATGTGGATGTAGATATATAATTAGTGACCCAGAGGAAATAACACGTCATTTGCATAGGAAAGGTTTCATTGAAAATTATTGGGTTTGGACGCATCATGGTGAAACACTGCTGAGTAATGCACCAGAGACTAGCAACACAGATGCTTCAAGTAGTCAACCGGTTATGCAACCACCTATGAAATTTGAAGAAAACTTTAATCTGATAGGTGACATGGTTGGTGATGCTTTTGGTGTTAACGTGACCTATGATCAACCTGAAGACTTTGACGGGGAAGAGTTGTTGAATGAGGAAGCGCATAGATTTTATCAGTTGTTGAATGAGATGAATACGTCATTGTTTGAGGGGTCGTCAGACTCAAAGCTATCAATGTGTGTTAGATTATTGGCCGCCAAGTCAAATTGAAATGTTCCTGATCAGTGTTTGGAGCACTTCGCAAAAATGATGTTGGACTCAACTGCAACGAAAGACAACTTGCCTGCGAGTTTCTATGATGCAAAGAAGTTGGTGTCGAAGTTGGGTTTAAGAGTAAGAAAGATTGATTGTTGCATTAATGGTTGTATGTTGTTTTATGACAACGAGTTTGGTACTCAAGATGGATCGTCAGAGGAATGTAAGTTTTGTCATAGTCCAAGATATAAAGTTCGCAATAGAGCCATTAACAGTAACCAAAAATGGGTAGCAGTAAAGTCCATGTTTTATCTTCCGATAATACCAAGGTTAAAAAGAATGTTTTCTTCAATGCACAGTGCAAGTCAAATGACATGGCATCATACAAACAAAACAAGCCCAGGCAATATGCGACACCCATCTGACGGCCATGCATGGAAGCACTTTGATGAGGTACATCCTGATTTTTCCGTTGAACCTAGAAATGTCAGGCTTGGATTATGCTCTGATGGTTTTGCTCCATATGTCCAAGCGTCCGAAAGTGCGTATTCTTGTTGGCCAGTTATTGTAACCCCTTACAATCTCCCTCCTGAGATGTGCATGACAAAACCATACATGTTTTTGACGTGCGTCATTCCAGGACCGTCGAGTCCAAAAACCGAAATTGGTGTGTACTTACAATCTTTAATTGATGATTTGAAGAGGTTGTGGAATAATGGAGAATGGACTTATGATATATCCCGTAAACAAAACTTTTCTATGCGAGCTGCCTTGATGTGGACCATTAACGACTTTCCAGCATATGGCATGTTGTCTGGTTGGGGTACGCATGGCAGAATGGGTTGTCCGCATTGCATGGAATGCACTAAGGCGTTTACATTGGAAAAAGGGGGGGAAAGCTCGTGGTTTGACTGTCATCGCAGATTTCTACCATCAAATCATCCCTTTAGAAAAAACAAGACAAATTTCAAAAAGGACGAACGGGTAACAAATCTGCCTCCGCCTCGACTGGAACCAGTTGCTATATGAAACCAAGTTTGTGAACTTCCAAAGTTTATAGATACTGGCAAAACATGTAGAATTGAAGGATATGGGGTCACACATAATTGGACAAAAAGAAGTATATTTTGGGACCTCCCGTATTGGAAAGATAATTTGTTGCGCCATAATCTTGATGTTATGCATATTGAGAAGAATTTTTTTGATAACGTATTTAACACAGTGATGGATGTTAAAGACAGAACAAAAGATAATGTGAAGGCTAGACAAGACATGGAAATTTGGTGTAATCGTAAAGAGTTGGAATTGAAGCCTCAACCAAATGGAAAATTATTTAAACCCAAAGCTTGTTTCAGTCTGACCCCCCAAGAAGCTAAAGCGGTTTGTGGATGGCTAAAAGGTTTGAGAATGCCCGACGGGTATTCTTCAAATTTAGCAAGGTGTGCTGATGCTAACACTGGGAAGTTGCATGGTATGAAAAGTCATGATTGCCATGTTTTTATGGAACAATTGCTACCAATTGCGTTCGGTTCTCTACCCAAACATGTGCTTAATCCACTCACTGAAATTAGTCAATTTTTTAGAGATATTTGTGCTTCAGCTTTAAGAGTGGATGACATCATTAAGTTGGACCAAAATATTCCAGTCATTCTCTGTAAGTTGGAACAAGTATTTCCTCCTGGTTTTTTTGACTCCATGGAACATCTAAGAGAAAATCACTTCTAAATTGAAGAAGTTTTTTTTTTTTTTTTGAGTTTCGCAGTAATGGATTACATTTGATAATATTATTTGATAATATTTTTTTACTATTTGTCAGTTGTAATCGGTTATAGATTTTGTGTAATCACTCTGATAATATTGTGTGATAATATTTTTTTAGTATTTGTCAGTTGTAATCGGTTATAGATTTTGTGTAATCAGTGATTGTATGTTTCAAATATTTATTAATTGGTTATAGGTTTTGTGTAATCAGTGATTGTATGTTCTAACATTTATCAAGAGTCTGATTCTGATTCACAAATATCTAGTGTGCATATGAATTTTGTCTCTAATGATAGAGTTTCTACAAACCTACTCCTCTTTGATGTGAAGGATTACGAGACAAATAGTGCAAGCAAATGAAGGTGTTGTTTAGCTACTAAGATGTTTTTGAAGTGATTAAGAATGAGGTGAAATTCTTTGTTGAATGTGTAATAAATGTACAATGAGCAATGCATAAGGAAGAAAAGAAGAAAGGTTATAAGACACTATTTTTTATCCATCAATGTGTGAATGGTGGCCATTTTGAGAAAGTTGTTGATTGCGAGTAGTCAAAGCAAGTTTGAGAAATCTTAGAAAATGTATATGTAGGGTATGACAAGGCGAATGTGGTGAGGTTACAAATTCACAAGAGTCAACTTGAATTGATTAAAATGGAAGAAATAGAGACGATCAACAATTACGTGATGAGAGTTACTAGATTGGTAAATCAAATAAAGTCATGTGGAGAAACTGTTTTTGAATAGAATGTTGTATTGAAAATCTTGCGTTTTTTTACAGCAAGATTTGATAACATTGTAGTAGTGATTAAAGAATCGAAAGATTTTGCGACGTTAAGCAAATAGGAGCTTTAAAGCTCTCTTGAGGCTTACGAGCAC